GAAAAAGTAATAATATTTAAATTATCATATAAAATTTATTTTTATTTGGTATGAATATCTCTCCCAAATAATAATGATATTCAGAATAATCCAACTGTAGAAGGTAAATCAAATCCCACAGTGAGATCATGCAAGTCAGAATGTTAGATAAAAGGATGTTAATGCTATCATGGAATCTTTTGTTTTATTATTTCAAGCAAGTCAATAAAGACACTAAGATGCAAGAGCTTACTGAGTGTGATAGATTATTAAATAATAATCTCATACTGTGCTTAAATTCATTAAGTCTAAATACCATAGAGGAAAGTTCATCAGTACAATTACCATGAAAGTATTTATAGAAAAGGCACAGGGAAGCTACATGAAGAATCTAATACATAGGAGACATGATGGAGTAATAGTGGCTCCGATTGAAGAATTGGAGAGCAGAGTTTGAATTCCATTCGATTCTATTACATTCACTTATGTGCTAATACTCTTGGGAAAGGTATGAATCCTCCTCTTTTCCCCCCAGCTATGGGTAAATAGCAGGACAGACCAGGTTCTATAACCTTGGATGGCAACTGGTCGACTGCAGAAAGAAATGGCAACCTACTGCGAGAAAAAAATCTGCCTCATCAGTCAAGTATCAAAAGATCACCTAAGCATGTATTATGCATGGAAAATAACTGACTGATACATATAACTCTAATCAACTTTGAAAAACCTTCAAATTCTGTTACGAGAAACATATTCAGATTAACATATAAAGATCCCTACCTTTATAAAAGACACACTGGGTATGGCAAGTGTGTCTTTTAGACAAGGTTTTAGAGTTGGAACTTATACAGGGTGACCCAAAAAATGGGAACTTTTTAACAATCCAATAAAACCAAGAGTGATGGAAGAAAAATATTTTATTCATAGTAATTGAAACCTTAAAACATACCATTTAAGAAACAATGATAGAATTTTCATTTTTTAAAAATTACATCCTGTAGATGGCATCCTCCTGTACAAATGCATTCTTGAAATCTGCTGTTGAAATTCCTCATTGACTGCTGCAATATCTCAGCTGGGATACTGTGAATTTCATCTTGAATTCTAAATGGCGAAACGTTTACTTGCTCAAGGTCACTGTCTTGTAGTGTTGCCACTTGCTCATGTCTGGCAATACGCATTTCAAAAATTCCTGTTTTTTTTGGGGGGGGGGGGCGTCACCCTATACTAAAGCCAACATTGTGAAGAATAACTCCCCACTGCTTGAAATGGTGCTGGTCTGTTTTAAAAATTAAGCCCAGGAAGATTTTATTTACTTATGGTAGACAAACCATTAAAGGACGACATGTCCCTATGAAGGTGACTTCTGTAGGATGTATCCATGTTAGGTGATAAATATGCATGGCAGAATTTATCAGGAAGTTGTAATTAGAAAATCAGGAGGAGTAAATGAAGAATACAGAGATGTATCTAATGAGGAAAATAAAGCTTCACATGATGAAGATGTTTAAGAGAATGAAAGGGTTTAAAAAAAATGTGACCGAAAAACCAGGTAGAAGCCAAATTGTGGAGTATAAATTGAATTAATGCGGTTAATGGAAAGGAAGAAAATTATGATCACCAAGCTGAAGTCAACAGGAAAATTTATTGTTTAAATAACAAAAGAGGAGAATAAAGATCATGGTTGTATTAATTGCAATCATGTTGATAAATGGATGGAAGTACCCCAAGAAACTGTTGAAAGAGATGAACAGGAACATTGCTGAGAAAGAACAAGTAAAGGAAGTAATCAATGTTAAGTGTAAAGAAATACAATATATGGCCATTTATGATGTACATGAATATGCACCCTATACAAAGTAAGAAAATTGTAACAATAAGATGTGTGATTATTGAGAAATACAAAAAGTGATAAGATAATCAGATCCATCTTGTAGATGATTTTAAGGCAGATTCTAATGATGTAAAAACAATCTCTCCAACATGTAACTACAAATATATATGATCAGTAATGTTAAGGCACGGTGGAGTAATGGATAGCAGCTAGGATTGAGGAATTGGAGAGCAGAGTTCGAATTCCATTCAAATCCATTACATTCACTTATGTTCTAATACCCTTAGAAAAGGTATTACTCCCCCCCCAGATATGGGTAAATAGCAGGACAGATCAGATTTTATAGCCTTGGATGGTAGCTGGTCTACCACAGAAAGAAATGGCAACCTACTGCAAGAAAAAAATTTGCCTTGTCAGTCACGTATCAAAATATACATGATTGCCTAACCATGTATCACGCATGGCACATAATTGACTGAATGTTAACTACATCAGTTATGAATTGACAAGTGAAGACTCAGAAGTTCTGCTGTTTTGATTCATGGGCAACATCATCATTTAGTAATCCTCTACCATGAACGTCTCTTGGGCCTTATAAAGAGTGAAAAAAAAAAAAAAAAGAAGTATTTTTTAAAGTATGACAGTGTTGATAGCAGACACAGAAAGGAAACTACAAGAACTCCTACAGAAGTTAGTGAAAGAAAGGACTAAACATGGTTCTTAGGAAAAGAAACAGCCCAACATGCAAATTACAAGTTGGAAATACCAAAAGCAAACAAGTACAACAATTTAAATATCTGGGAAGTGTTTTAACAGCAGACAGAAAGTGCAACACTGAAATCCGAAGGTGCATTGGGATAGTGAAAGATGCCTTCCAAAAGTTAAGCAAAGTAGAAAAATTTTGTTAGAAACAAAGAAAAGAGTATTGAACTGTAATGTAATATCAGTCCTCCTACATGGTAGTGAATGTTGGACAATCTCCTCGCAAAACGAAGAGATGACTTGAAGCAACAGAAATGTGGTTCTACAGAAGAATGCTGAGAATACCATGGGCTGGATATGTGAGCAACAACAAAACTTTAGAGATAATAGAAACAAAAAGGACATTTATACTTAAAATCAAGAAAGGATAGTTGAAATTTCTAGGGCACATAATGAAGAAAGAGGATTTAGAAAATTTGATATTCACAGTACAGATTGAAGACAAGAGAGGAAAACAATGCATCACCTACCTAGAGAGTTTGAGTAAATGAATGGCAGAAGGTGGTTTAGGAGAGATAACAAAAAGACAGAAGTTTATTAAGAGCTACAAAGGACAGGAAATAGTGGAGAGCCATGATTGTCAATGTTCTGAAGTGACATAGAAGAAGGTTTTTTGAAGAGAGAAATGTTCCTGAAGTTATCTTCAGATTTATGTCCAAAATCACATTTATGGAAACTGAAGAGATGCAGTTATGGCTCAAATGGGTCCAGCTTAGTCATAAGAGGATCATTTAAGTATGGACAGAGTTGACAAGTAGTGTACAATGACAAGGCATTATTTCTTTGGCATAATGTAAAGGGGAATATGTATTCTAGTAATGCGTGTGGTAGATTTTATATTCTGTGGAAACTGTTTCTCAAGGACGTGATTCAAATACTATAAAAGAAATTTAAAGTAGAACCTCAAATATTTAGCATTGACTGTTAAACAAATTGTTATGAGGTCCACCCCTTTTTGATATAAGTGGACTCGACCAAAGTGTTACTGGGAATGCTGACATTAAATACCCACAGTCAGTGATTATACGAACGGAGATAGAGAGTGTGATTGAGTTGAAGGTAGAGTAATAGTGTGAGGTAACCGCTTGTAGAAGACAGTTACAAGCATGCCCGACTCTAAGGAAGTCCTACTTCGAGACTGTATATTATGACTAACCATGTTCCTGGATTTACTAACAGAATTACCCTTTGTATTATTGTGTAAATACATTTAATTTCTTATCTTTTGTTTCTTGCGTTTGTCATTCATGTGAGACTGAATTTCGTATCGGAATCCACAACACAAATCAAGACTAGAATTTCTGTAGATCAAGATTTGCACAAATCATCCATATCACCAACAGAAATAAAGAAAGGAAAATTACTGAGAAAGAATGATGATTTAAGCGAAGATGAGAAAACTGAATTAGAATAACTTGCAGGTCAGATGATATGGATATCTACTTAAAATCATCCAGGTGCATCATTTAATGTTTATTATTATTACTGGGAATATATCCTAAAGTGAAAATCACTTTTGATGCTAATAAAACGTTATTAAAGTTGAAATGGGTGTGCAGGTGGTGTAATTGATAGTAGTCCAGAATGAGAAATCAGAATGTCAAATTTGAATTCCAATGAAAAAGGTATCAATCCATCTCTTCCCCCACCAATTATGGGTTAAATGGCAGGACAGACTTGGATCCCAAGCTGAGGTTATCAACCAAGGACTGTAACAATTATCCATGATCCTTAACCTTCAGCAATAAGGATAGGAAGAAGCAAAGCAAAAAGAGCTGAAATCCAAGAAAAGTTTCATACCATTTCCAAAGATAGGAAAATATATGAACATTATCTGTTATTCTGATACCACTTATGCTAGTTTGAGAAAATGGATTTTCACAGCAGCATTTTACTGTGATCATTGGAGGTAATATGAACAAAATAACTTCAATGTATTGGTCAAAAAAAATAAAAAATATAAATAAAAATCTACAAGCTTTAGAAAATCTTGCACATAATGGAACAGCTGATGCTGAGCTTTTATGATATGGAAGATGATCCAATTGTCCAGATTATCAAAGGTACTTTGGAAAACTAATAACTCATCCCTTATAAAAACTTTAAATTCATCTAACCTTGTTAATGATCATACAAGAATTTATATGGCAAGAATATCTTTTGAATGCTTTTTTTTATGGCTTATCAATTTGCAGGTTATTTAAAGCCAGAAAATACTTTTAAATTGTAAGAATTTTTGGGGAGATAATAATAATTTACTGATACAAGTCCTACTAAATAATCCATACCTGGAGGGAGAAGTGGTGGATTCATACCTTTCCCAAGGGCATTTGCGCATGATATAACAATTCCAGCTAGAATTGGAACACGACTCTCCAATTTCTAATTCCAAGCCATTATCCATTACACCACCTGCAGATCCAAGCTTACAGCACCTGGTATTCCTGGGCAGTCACGCACCTAGGTACTGACCAGGCTCAGCATTGCTTAACTTTGATGATCATAAGAAAACCAGTGTTTCAATGTAATATGGCTGTAAGCCTTGTGACAAGAATAAAAATGTTTAATAAAAAAAACTACGACTGAATCACGTTTCAGACTATTTAACAAAGTAAAAACTTCCTCTGAAGGGCTGAAAGACATACTATAACGACAGCATATATGCTATATAGTGAACAGATATATAAAAAGTTCAATGACTTTTCTTCAAATGAAGTTTTGAAGAAACATCTGCTCATCAAGGTAAAATAAACTCAATTTCTTAACAGATATCATATCTTAAATATATTGCATAAAAAATAATTGACTCCAACTAAATTTTAAATTTGTTCTATCCAGTGGCAAAAATCTGAAATTATGTATTATTAACATATTTTTTATGTAACATTTAAAATATAATGCTATTAAATACAATCAAAATGCGAACTCTGCTATTATTAAATACAATCAAAATGCGAACTCTGCTATTATTAAATACAATCAAAATGCGAACTCTGCTATTATTAAATACAATCAAAAACTCTGCTATTATTAAATACAATCAAAATCGAACTCTGCTATTATTAAATACAATCAAAATCGAACTCTGCTATTATTAAATACAATCAAAATGAAACTCTGCTATTATTAAATACAATCAAAATGCGAACTCTGCTATTATTAAATACAATCAAAATCCCGAACTCTGCTATTATTAAATACAATCAAAATCGAACTCTGCTATTATTAAATACAATCAAAATCACGAACTCTGCTATTATTAAATACAATCAAAATACGAACTCTGCTATTATTAAATACAATCAAAATCACGAACTCTGCTATTATTAAATACAATCAAAATCGAACTCTGCTATTATTAAATACAATCAAAATCACGAACTCTGCTATTATTAAATACAATCAAAATGCCGAACTCTGCTATTATTAAATACAATCAAAATGCTATTATTAAATACAATCAAAATCACGAACTCTGCTATTATTAAATACAATCAAAATCACGAACTCTGCTATTATTAAATACAATCAAAATCACGAACTCTGCTATTATTAAATACAATCAAAATGCGAACTCTGCTATTATTAAATACAATCAAAATCTAACTCTGCTATTAAAATACAATAAATACAATCAAAATCAATCAAAATGCGAACTCTGCTGTTATTAAATACAATCAAAATCACGAACTCTGCTATTATTAAATACAATCAAAATCGAACTCTGCTATTATTAAATACAATCAAAATCACGAACTCTGCTATTATTAAATACAATCAAAATCGAACTCTGCTATTATTAAATACAATCAAAATCTGAACTCTGCTATTATTAAATACAATCAAAATCAGAACTCTGCTATTATTAAATACAATCAAAATGCGAACTCTGCTATTATTAAATACAATCAAAATCACGAACTCTGCTATTATTAAATACAATCAAAATGCGAACTCTGCTTTATTAAAATACAATCAAAATCACGAACTCTGCTATTATTAAATACAATCAAAATGCGAACTCTGCTATTATTAAATACAATCAAAATCACGAACTCTGCTATTATTAAATACAATCAAAATCACGAACTCTGCTATTATTAAATACAATCAAAATCACCGAACTCTGCTATTATTAAATACAATCAAAATCACGAACTCTGCTGTTATTAAATACAATCAAAATCTGAAACTCTGCTATTATTAAATACAATCAAAATCTCACGAACTCTGCTATTAAAATACAATCAAAATCACGAACTCTGCTATTATTAAATACAATCAAAATCTGAACTCTGCTATTATTAAATACAATCAAAATGCGAACTCTGCTATTATTAAATACAATCAAAATGCGAACTCTGCTATTATTAAATACAATCAAAATGCGAACTCTGCTATTATTAAATACAATCAAAATGCGAACTCTGCTATTATTAAATACAATCAAAATGCGAACTCTGCTATTATTAAATACAATCAAAATGCGAACTCTGCTATTATTAAATACAATCAAAATCCGAACTCTGCTATTATTAAATACAATCAAAATGCCCGAACTCTGCTATTATTAAATACAATCAAAATGCGAACTCTGCTATTATTAAATACAATCAAAATGCGAACTCTGCTATTATTAAATACAATCAAAATGCGAACTCTGCTATTAAATACAATTAGATTTATCCTACCCTGACAAGCTGATCTTGCTTTGTGAAACTTCAAATTGAAAGAGACATCATTGAAATTATTTTTCTATTCATGATTGTTTCTTTATTTTGTAATATTGAGCATTTTATTTGCAAACTTCTGCTTACTTAAACATGCTATCATTCAGTAATTTACTGGTGAATGTGTTTTGTTAGAAATAAACTTTGTTATATTGCTATATATAAGGGAAACCACTCCTATAACTAAAGTGTGCTGTTACTAATTTGGCCATGGGAAGCTATCATGATAAAGCCAATCTCCATTACTTATTTAAGGAATGCATATCTCTTGTTAGGATTTCTTCAAATCTATTCCTGATAGCTTCTTTTATCTACCCAAAACGTAAAGAGTAATTTTGAAATTAAAATTTGTTTTTAATCTGAAATAATAATAAGAAATGTGTGATTAAAAAAAAAAGAAATCCATTTAAAAATTACTAATTTACATTTAAGTTATGTATATGAAGCTAGAAGATACAGATTTAAAGAAGTCCCAGTGAGAGGTGTGCATTCCTTAAGTAGATAACTGAGCTTTGCTTTATTAAGATGGCTTCCTATGGTTTTATATATATATATATATATATATATATATATATATATATACATGATGCATTGCTGGAATCATGAGTTAGGAAGCTGACAGGAGAACAGCAGCAAAAATGATAGTTGCTCATCTCCCCTTGTTTGTTTATGCATAAAAAAAAAAAAAAAAAAAAAATATAGGCTGACTTTGCCTCTACACTAGTGAATAGGCAGATATCTCAATTTTGATAATATATCTTCCAGATAAAGTTAACAGTCATAGATTTGTCAGGTTTACAGTCACATTATGTTGAAACAGCAGTTCCCATACAATCACCAAAGTTAAGAAGTGCTGAGCCTGGTCAGTATCTCAGTGAGTGACCGCTTGGGAATAACAGGTGCAGTAAGCACCTGATATTCCCAAGCGCAAGATGTTCAGATTTTGTAATGGATAATGGCTCGGAATTGCTAATTGGAGAGCCAGGTTTTAATTCCCATTTGTTTGTTATATTCACTTACAAGCAAATAATCTTGCGAAAAGTATAAATCCATCTTTTCTCCCCCTAGCTATGGGTTAATTAGCAAGGCCCATATCACAACCATTATTATCTCAAAGAAAAAAAAATTCTTATAATCTAAACATATTTTCTGGCTTTATATAACCTGCTTATACTTATTAAATACTCAATAATAGCAATAAATATCTCAAAATGCTAAATGTTTATTTTAATATTTATCTTTATTTACATTATATACACTTGAACTATTGTCTTCATATTTGTGATTATTATTACATCAGTCATAGCACCCTTTGGCCTTCTTCAGGCACTTGTCAATCCAAGTAACCATCAGGGAATTTTGAACTGAACCCATAATTTAATCTATGGGCGTAGATTGTGTAAATTTCAACTCAGTGGAAACAGGGCAAGCAATAACTGAGCAGTATTAAATAACAAGATGAAATATCCCTTCATATGAACAGCAGAACAAGAACTGTAAATTAAATAAAGGGTGTATTTCAAAATTCCCTAAAGGTTACCCGGATCTGCAAGCACTTGATGAAAGCTGGAAGGCACCACAGTCGAAATATTGTAATAAGAACAAAAAGATTGGGGGGACAATAGTTTGAGTGCAAATTATGTAAATAATGATTACTCCTCATCCTAGAAATTCAAAAAGAAATATTTATGAGCTATTTTAATATTTTATTTATTCTTATATTTTTACATCAGGATAACTATTAGATGCAGTAAATTTATGGAATAAGTATGACAATAAAGATCTTAAAATATTCATACTTTTCTCAGTATTTTCCCCATATATATATATATATATATATATATATATATATATATATAAAAACTCAGGAGAAAGAGAAAAAAAAAAAAATAAAGAGAGAAGCCACCAAACTTTTTTTGAAATCCCATAAGAATCAATACAAGTAAAAATGGCTTATAAAATATCTAAGATCTTAATGCTGTTTCTATTGGTTGCCTTCTCTCTATCCAAATATATTTTTGACAAAACTAAACCAAATCAATTTCCTGCTGTGATAATTTGTAACTTGAAAGGTGTGAAATTTCCCCACCCAATTCAAAGTAATTCTTAAGGTTTGATCTTTGTTTTTTTTTTCAAAACTGAGGGTACCTTTTAAAAGAAAGAATATGGAGAGAATTTGAAAAGTGAAGAATCATGTGAATATTAAAAATAGGGTTTGAAGTAAAAAAAAATACTTAAAAAAAAAACAAAAAAACATGCATTTTTTGTTAAATACCCAACACTGATTCATGATTCTTTGAAGGAAGCAGAAAAACTATTTTTTTTATTTATGTAATATGATTCTTATGGATGGATAGATAGAAATGTGCCTATGTGAGAGATATATTAAATTTCAGTTGTGTCAAACAGTTTGGTTACTCTAATGGCCATTATTAGATACAAAGATTTACACAGATTTTAAGGTAACAGTTTCTTCTATCACACTTCTCACTTCTGGCTTTCCAGTCAATTTTGATCTTCAAAAATGTAATATCATTATCTACTATCTTCTTAATTCCTCTTATTGTTTTCACTCCTTAGTAATATTTCCATTTTTCTTTCATGCTCAGAAAACCTGATCTTTTGTCTTCTTAACTCCTGCTCTTTTATTGTCTCATCTCCTTAATAGTTTTCTTTTTCACATATTCTCTAACACTCAGTAACCCCTTGCATCTTAGTGGCTTTATTGCCTTGCTTGGGGTGAAACGATAAAAAAAGAAAAAAGAAAATTTGAGATAACTTGAGCTGAAAAGTCATTGTAAATTTTACAGGTGAGAGAGCATTTTCCTTGATTTAATATCATTTTGTTTTCTGAAATAAATTACTTGGGCTAAGATTACAACATTTCTCTCCTTTCAGCCCAGTGATAAAGATCAGTGTTCAAGCCCAAGTAAGTGATAAATATGAACATTTTAAAAGCATATAAACCATCACCCCCACTGAGAAGAGAGTGGTGAAACAGTTATCCACCACTACACCAGCCACTGGGCTATTTGCCAAACTAAGTCAATATCCATAAGAAGCGTAATCAATCTGACATTTAAGATAAAGCCATTCCTCCTCAGCTTCAAATATGTCAGTGCCATGATGATTTTTAAACAACAATCATAGTATTTTTAAATTTAAATTTGATATTTTAATCTGGATTATTGCAGACAGTTACCCCCACCCACCCAATGATTTCTAGCCTCACTATTATAATAAAAGAAATTCTTTTTGCTAAAAATAAACAAAATTTTCTTTCGTTGTTCCATAGAACAAAATTTTTAAGTTCCACAATGTTGGCAATGTCAAAAGAAATTCCACGGTGCATTTTTTTTTTTTTTTTTTTTTTACAATTTTGAAATAAAACTAATTTTAGATATTTATGCACAAAAGATCATTTTACAGTTTTAAATTGAGCTTTACCTATATATTTATTGTAGATATGTGCATAACAGTGGTTATTAGCACAAAAAGTTGGATCAGTTCAAGTTCCAGCTGAGGTCATTGCATTTGATTTCCCACAAATACCCTTGGGAAAGGTATGAATCCATATCTCCTGACCCTGCCATGGGTTAAATAGCAGGGTAGACTTAGATCTCCAACCTTGGTTGGTAACTAATCTCAGACAAGGATAACTGAATTCAAAACCAGCAGAGCACAGGGCTGGCAATTTCCCTCTGTAAAAAGTCTGCTTCCTGAGGAAACCACAACAACAATGCAAATACAGTGAGGCTGTGGTTCTCTACTACAAAATGATAAGGGCTATTTATTAATTTAATCTCTTCTAAAATATTTTTCTTGTTTAAAATCAACAATAAAATAAGCAAAGACTGAGATTTAACCCTATTCTCTCATGACATCTAATCAATTTCAAGACACACAGCTCTTCAAAATCAGCATATACTGTAGATATCTGTTCAGTTGTTAAAGTCAACTCTGAAACAAGACCAAATTGATGGCGCATTCACTCAAGATCAAAATCAATCACTGCCAAGAGCACTCAGATCAATTTATTCAAATACAATCAGTATCTGAACATTCTTTTCACTGTATTAAGAAATATTCTCTCTCTCTCTCTCTCTCATATATATATATATATATATATATATATATACACACACAAGTATATATTCAATAAATCAAGAAAAGTTCAAGTGACTTATCTGACTGACTAACTTGAGAGTTGCATGTGGAAACTTGATCAGGGTCAGATGTTCAATAAATCTATTGAAGTTATTATTAGATATCATATTTATACTCCTTGGAATGAATACTTATAACTTTCAAATTCTTATAGTATTATAATATCTACAGGAGATATTTCATGTTTCTCAAGCCTTTGGGTAGCATATATATATATATATATATATAAATGTTTTTCTAGTGAATATTCATATTTGAGTAAACACTCAGTTTATTTATTAAACAGTATAATTATTTATTTTTGTCTATTGGCCTTAATATTCCAGAAATCTTATTAAAGAAAAGTATGTACTCTCCAGCAGTATTTGAATCTGCGCCCTTCTGGGCTGGAGAAACAGTCATTAGATCTGACATGCTTTAGACATCTCAACCATGAAGTGCATAGATGATCAAGCAAAGTTGAATAGTGCCTTTAAATGCAAATCTTTCCTTGACTCTCAAAATATACATATCTGCTCAGTTTTATATCCTAATGTAAACAAACTGATTTCTAAAGTGATGGATTTTTATTCTTTAATACGACACATTTTATTGCCTAAACATTATATTTTAGTGGATACTCATATTTCAGTAGATGCTTTGATCACTGACACATTTTATGGCTGAGAGGTCACATCAGATCTAACAATGGTTTCAACTGCCCAAGAGGATACAGGTTTGAATCCTGCCAGAAAGCAAACATTTTTTTCAATAAGATTTCTTGAATATTAAGGCTAGTTTGGTTTGTTTTATTTTGTTTTACAGCATATCAACCTCAATGGGTTATTTAATGCCGACAACATTTTTAGGATAGATTCGTATGAATAGAATATGTATTCTTTGGTTTAGATTGGTTTGGTTTATTTTGTTTTACGGCATATCAACCTCAATGCCGACAACATTTTTTATTGCAGGTAATATTTTGTCAAAAATCGGTTTCTGATAATATTTTTCCTTCAAAATTGTATTGCTGGTAATAGTTAACTATTTGCCCATAGCTGGGACCCTAACAGGTGCTACCACCCTGATTAAGACTAGTATACAAAATAATTATACTGTTTAATAAATACAGTGTCTACTCAAATATGGATATCCACTAAAAATAACGATTAATTCTTTTCCTGTTTGTGGAACTCTCTTCTGACATCTAAAATTTCCAAGAAAAGAAAATGCAATGTCAATCAACATCTTCTGTCTTCCCTAATCCTGTTCCTTTATATATCTTTATAGCCTTTTACTTTTCTCTTTACAATCTGCAGGAATAATGAAAGATCTGTTCAACTGTGACATTATAGCCTAATGTACAAGGCAGTGATAATTAAAACGTTTATTATCTCCCCTTTAATTTTCCAGTATAAAATTTCCAATATTAAAATACTCTGAAGAGTCCAATTCTTTTTACCCTAATTCCTGAGTACTTTCTTTTCTTTTTATGTGCTATGTCCTTTCAGGACATCATGGCTCTCTACCTGCCTCTATCCCTTGCAGCTCTTAACAAGTTCCTTCCCTCTGCCACCTCCCCCAGACCATGTTCTGTCATCCACTTGCTCAAGCCCACTAGGTATGTCATGCATTGATTTCCTTTGTCTCTCTTTCCCTCTATTTGATCCATGAGTATCAGATTCTCCAGGCCCTCCTTCCTCATTATGCATCCCAGAAACTTCAGCTGCCTCTTCCTGATGTTAAGTATAAGCCTCCTCCT